GGGAAAATATATGCATGTTATTTATTTATATTAAGCTTCGCAACATGAACATAGAACAATGTCATAGCAAAAAAGATTAGTTTAATGTCGCGTAACAATGACATTAAATTTCACTAATTAAATTCATGCAATTTACATGGTGTATTTAAACATTGAATAATAGCTATTAATGTACAGTATTTTTGCTATATAGACATTACCAAATTAATTCATTATACTAATTTTTCGTTTTTTAAACCGTTCTTAATGATATTAAAGTGTAGAATAATACGAATATAGGAAAGGATTGTCAAATTTGGCTAATAGTGCAATATTTTTGTAATATGTGAGTGGTAGCAGGAAAAAATGCAATTTTTAAAGTAATGTAATTTATTTTTCTACAATATAATATAAGAAGGTAAAGAGACAGCTTTTTGTGATTGTGAAATCAATTCAATCGGAAAATTATATTGTTTAAGAAAGATTGTTTAAAAAATACCAATGTAATTTATAAAAAATTGCAACAAAAAACGATTATTTTTATGTTTGCTCAATACGTTTTGCAATTAAGAGGTCAATAATTTAAGCAACAGTATCTGTTAACTATTACATTTACTTCGACTGACAGTGTAGGGACTTAACGACATTTCGAAATTAGCGTCCATGGAGTTCTCTTTTGGTCATGTCAATCTTAAAATTTTTTCAGTTTCATCACAGTTTTTCTACAAATCAGTTAAAAAATAATCTAAATTAAGAAATTTTACTAAACAACTGAGAACATTTTACTTAACGTTATTTTTAAATAAAAAGTTCTAAATCAATGCAATAAATTATAACTAAGTGAATGCACACTTTCAATGTGTATACGGTAGTTAATAAAGGTATTTGAACGCCTAGACCTCCGTATTTTAACTTATGACGTGTCATGTCAAGTTTTTAAATCAAAATAATGCCTACTTAATAGGAACATGCACTATGAACGAATAACAAAAGTATTTGAAACCTATCATATTTTCTGACTCAACTTTTCATTGAAGAATGTGTCACCTAACATGTTCATCTGAAGTAAATCTAATAGTTGTTTTTAATAATACGAGTAAATGTGTAATGAAAAATATGTCCTTTAGTAAGGAAATTATTATCATAGTGAAGATTTCAAGATCATCTTTTCAAGGTTATTGTTGTTTTTCAAATGGGATAACATATTTTGATTAGTGTTGTAGCGGTACATGGTATAAAGCCTGAAAATTAGTGAGAATGGCTTGCAAATATCAAGATCAAGGTCAAGGCTAATGTTAAAGTCTTTCTTTTGACTTTTACGGATATAGGATGAATATGATGCATATTGCTAAAAAGAATTATAATATAAATGGATTAAAATTGGCCAATTTTGACTGACGATGACCCTGCGAAAAATCATTGTAAGATGACTACCTTTTTTCAAAATTAAATCTTGAAACATCTACTTTAAGATAATGTTTCTGAATTTCAAGTTTTATGCACCCCCGCCGCTGTAACTCTTCAAATGTGTGATTATGAAAATTATATTGAAAATTACCAGGTTTTACGAAATGCACGATTTTTACAAAATTTTGTCCCCTCTAATTAAAAAAAAAAAAAACGTGACTGCGATTTTTTTTCGCAGTTACAGCATCTGAAAGCAATGTTTGCACTTTTCTCATGTATCACCAGCATTAGTGTTATCGGATGTGCACATCAGGGAGATTACTGGTCGGATCTTACACATCGTGTGTGTTTGTATGTATGTTTCAATTTCAGTAGCATGTGTTTCCTCCGTATTGCCCCATTAAGCAGGGCTCGGAATTAACCAGCACGCAACATGAGGACCGCGAGAGCTACATCTTCTAAGTCCTCCGGATCTTGCTCCTCGGTTATCGCCTAAATGCTGTGCACACATGTATAAAGCAATAGACCACGAGAAGCGAAACGCGCAACAGGAGTCAGGAGGCATAGCCTCGCGATCTTCATGTTGCGTGCTGGTTAATTCCGAGCCCTGCTCTATTACGACTACGACTTGTAGCCAGTCCTTCATGTCAATGCAAGCTCCGATTTCATGCCAAAAAGGCAAGAGTTACTTTAATTTGAATTCTATAATTTTGCGAAAAAATTGCAGCAAGTTTCTTATCTTTAATTAAAAGGGAAGGATTAAATTTCATCCAGCTGCAAACAGCATCTCTGAAAACAATTTTACGAAATCCGTACATTTCGTTAAACTTGACAATTTTTAATATGGCAAACATGGTCTTACAATTAAAATATTACAGTGATGAGGGTATAGCAAACTTAAAATTCAGAAACATTATCCTAAAGTAGAGGTTTCAAGCTTTAATTTAAAAAAGTCATCATCCTACGACAATTTTTTGCGGAGTCATCATCAGTCAAAGTTGGCCCATTTTAATCCAAAATTTTACTATGCTATAATTTTTTTTGAGCAGTGTATATAGGGTATTCCAAAAGTTATTCAAGATTGGGAAATGAAGGGTTCCTGTAGTCATTTGAAGTAACTTTTTTCTCAGTGCAAATGCAATTTGCGGCTTTGTTTACGAGTTATTAATAAAAACACTGACCAATGAGAGGCGTGCTCGGCTGGCGCAAGGCGGCAGCTTGCTCGACGCAAACAAATGTAGCCATAAAACATAATTAGATTACCGAGATTCGCAAAATCAAGGAAACACGCACCTGTTACGTTAAGAATAACAAAACAGGAATTTCAGTAGCGAAAGGAGTTATTTTGTCATCCAAAAATCGATGGGTCTACTGTTCCGTTTAGCGTTGAAAGAAGACAATTAGGTAACAACCTTTTGTTCTCATTATCGTTTATTTAATAAATTTTTACGTTATTTACGTTATTGAAAATTGAAGGTTTTTCGCATATGCTACATGGGTCAATTTTTTTCAAATTACATCTTGTTAGATCTAACTAGCAGATTACAATAGAATCTGTGGCCGTATACATTTGTTGCTACGAGATTAGGTTTTTTCAAATATGTTTAGGTGTTATGTGGACTCCGAAATTCTGCTTAGATATTTCAAGGATTCATATATGATGTTTTATACAGTGTTAAGTCTTAAATTAATTGTTTAATTTATTTTTAATAAAAAAAATCTTACAAATAGCTTGGTAACGATTTCGAGAAGAAATAACTAAAACTAATATCATTTTAATATTGTATTAGTATGGTCTTGCCGATATCAGGTAACGGATCTTTTTACATTGTAGCGCAGTAGTAGCTCGGTATGCAAGGTTTAGTAGCAAATTCTCATGCCTAATCTAAGTGAAGTTGTCGAAAGCTTGCACCATGACCAATTTCAATTTCAATTATAAAGAATGATATGCTCAAAAGCTTTTTCCATTTAACGTCGGTCGACCTTAGCTTTCGAGATACAGTAAATTCGTCCCGCAGCTTAAAGTCGAAAATGGACAATTTAGGCAAACTAAACACGATTTTTCGAGCCTCGCGGCTCGCCTTTAGAAAATCAGGGCAGTCGGCATACTTAAAAGCCAACGGCCAGCATATCGGTGTACATTAATACAAATACCCAATGATGCCAGAAAAAAACTATGCCTTATCTATTTTATTTCTAATTTTTTATACAAAAAATTTTTTTCGATATATTAGTCAGATTTTTCAAATTAAGATGATACCAAACACGATGCTTTAAACCATACTTATTCATTATTCGTATCATACGTTTATTCGACTCCGTCGAATCTTAGCATAGTCCTAGAGGGTCAATCCCAGCAAGTCCGTAACATGCACTACTTGGGCATATGTAAATAATAAGACGATTATAAAAACTCGACTTAATTTATTATAAAAACAATAATTAATCATGAAAAGTTTAACTTCATATATACGAATTCATTGTTTTCTTTTTAATAAGTTTCCACGATTATTCTTTTCATAGTGTAAATGTACCATCACTTTATGTTGTGACTGATGTAGTCGCATTCTTATAAGTGTGCATTGGGTTCAGGGACAGTTTGTTTGCTAGACGTTATCCATACAAGGAGAATATCTTCTTTCTTGCAATATTCACTTGTGATGTGAAGGTAGTGTTTTTCCATTTTGATGTCAAACTCTTTGAATTTTGATAAAATTTCTTTATGATAGGTGATAAATTTCTTTGTCTTGTAACAGGGCTTAAGACATTCCTTTTTCTTTTTTTAATATTAATCCCTTTACTTTGTGTGCTACATGTGTCTGGTATTGGTTCAGAAGAGGCTTCAATCTCTGTATCATCTTCCTTTATACATGAAACATTTGATTTTATATTACTTGTATTTGCTAATGGTTCATAGGAGGCTTTAATCTCTTTATCATCTTTCTTTATATATGAAACATTTGATTTTATGTTACTTTGTGTGTGACTCATACTTGCTAATGGTTCACAGGTTTCAATCTCTGTACCATCTTGCTTTATACATGAAACATTTAGTTTTATATTACTTGTATTTGCTAATGGTTCACAGGAGGCTTCTATTAATGACGCATTTGGAATATTTTTACTTGGCACAGAATCTAACTTCAATCGTCGTCTTTGACCAGAGCACATATATGCCTTTTCAGGAAAGTGCAAGTGGCATACTTTATATTTTGTTCTTTCTTGTACTGTTAGTGCATTAATAACAGGTGAGCATACTGCTTCTTTCCACATTTCATTTATGCGTACATTCTTGGGAAAATGGTGATTTGGTACCAAATAATTGGACTTGCAATTTGGTACACAACAATTTCTTGATGACATGTTTATGATCTAAAACAACAATAGATTGACTTTAAATGACATTCTAAAGATGTAAGGAAACACTTATTGTGACATACAAAACTTCCATGCGTGTTTATTAAATAGGTTGATTTATCTACTCCTTGCTGCTACGTTGTCAGTGATGATGAATCTGAAACAAAAATATATGTACCTTAAATTGTATTCAAAAGATATAAAAAACTGTAAGGAATCAAAATAAATGTTGTTTCTGTCGATCTGTTCGCTTGGGTTCGCTCAGGATTGTTCAATATCGTATAAAATGAATGAATGGCGGGAATGGCAATATATCGGCACATGGTTTACAAGTCATGAACAGCCATATTGAATGTTAGTTCGTAAAAAGGTTTGTACTTACTATAGATGACAGCCACAACACTGTCCCTGTAAGCTTTCCTTTTCCCGGATGATACCTATGTCGAAGGTAAAGAAACTTCAAACATTTAACTTATCAATAACACTTTATTCTCTATTCCTTTCTATATCATGTTTCATGGCAACTCGTGCCAGCTAAACACCTTAGCACGCTTGCCTAGGGAAATAGCTCGCTAGCGTGATAATTCTCAAATCTCAAATATTCCCTACACAGTTGTTTCCCATTGATCTTAAGGCTCATTTTCACTGGCTGATGACTTCCGTTTCGGTTTGGGTTGATGTTGATGCCAAATGTCGGTATTTTTAAATTGGAGAAGGTTCATTTAAAATAAAATAATTTCAAATAATAAATTATTTCGTTATTTCTCTCTTTTAAAAATAGCCAAATGAAATAATCTGCACAATAATTTGTTTAAAAGGAAAAGATATAAACCAGCCTCAAATATTAAAAACTTTATAGTTATTTTAAATAATTATAATATGAAAGTAGAGAAGAGAAGATGGGTTTGGGCTCTTAGGCCTTAGCATCTTCACGATGCGACTCTTACGTTATATTATCAAATTCATCAGCAGTGCGGTAGAACCGTTAATGTTGCCATACCGATAAAGTGTGGCGCTGTTCGTCGTTTTACAATAAATATAAATTGTTACCAAAACAAAAAAAATAAAAGAAACAGAATCGACATTAGCAAAGAAAAAAGGTATATTATGCGTATATGTACTTCTTAACCATCATTATCTTCATCAATGTTCTCATAACAGTACAGATCTGTCGCATCAAGACTGTATGGTATTATGGAATTAGCATTTTTAAACGTATCAATTTTATCTCTAATTATTATATACGTATATTCGTATAATGTTGTGTTGATTTGTAAAATCATCGTCTTAATTCTATTCGATTTGATTTTAGTTAAGTTGTTCAGTTCAGTCGACCACCGTATAATAATATTTTTAATATAATAATATTACATCACACCTCGTTTTTTTTTATAGTATAGAATTACTACCACACACAACCAGATTGTAATAATGAAATGTGTGCAACTAGTAAATGCAAGTGATAACGTAAACATAAGAGATAGTGATGACGGTGCGGATAGTCTTCCATGAGGAAATAAATGTAAAATGCTGTTAATATTATTATATATTTTAATTAATATTCTTATTAACAGCAGATAGATGTATTTTAAGCAGCGCTAATATTTACATATTTAAAGATTTACGGAATCTATTGTCGTGATCCTGATGTGAAATAGGAATTAGTACTTGTAAAAATTCCTTTACCGAATTAAAGTTAGCTTAACGGTTTGTATAATTCGGAGTGGAAATTAGTGGCAAGGATTTTTAAGAGTAAGGAAATATGGGGGAGGAATAAAGAAAGAGTTGGTGACAGTGTCGGAGGTGGTAAGTTAATGAATCTTACGAATTCTTAAACGTAAATGAATTAAACAACTACTATTACTACTCCAGCACAGAAGAAATAATGACATATCGTTTCTCGTGTCACGAAAGTGTGTGAAGGATATCTGAAGGTGCACAAACATCATTGATAAAAATTTTTAGATTAATTAAATTGAAATATCACCACAATAAAATGAATTAAAAAAAATTATATTTTAAAACAATATTATTATAAATTATAAATGAATTATGAAATTCTATAGGGTCTTCTCGTCCCCTAATTTTATTTAAGTACAATGAGACCCCGCTTAACGGGATCAGTATTACGCGGGTAGTATGTATTTGGATTCCCCGAAATCACACACGGTATTGGTACTTGTCGTATATGTGTGCAAATGAAGCAGGCATGCGTCAACCATAATCGGTGCATTATGCAGCGACGGCGCACGCTATGTATCTTTTGTTTTACTACTACTACTTTACTCTTTACTGTATTCTACGCTTTCAACTGTATTCTCCGAAATTGCATTACAGTACGAACGCATCTTTCCTGTGTCACAGTTGATTTATAAGCGGTCATCGACGTCACTAGATGTATAAAGATACAAACATAATATTTTATTTTATTGCAATAAATTCGACAATTCTTAATTCGTACAATGGGTGATTGCAAAGAACAAAAAAGTAAAGCGACAAAAAAAAGCATTTCGCTGGAAACTAAAATGCAGGTGTTAAGGTGATTAGATGCAGGCCAACGGCAATCTGATGTTGGCACTGTATTAAATTTGTCAATTTCAACAATAAAAACAATTTTAAAAAACAAAGAAAAAATCGTATCATCAGCAACTACAACCACGACGACTTCTGCAACAAAAATTACCCATTCCAGAAGCAATATGATTGAGGAAATAGAAAAACGACTTTTCATCTGGATTGACGATGAAGTTGAACGTAGTATGCTATTAAGTCAAGCAATTATAATGGAAAAACCGAGAACAATTTTTCACCATATTTAGAATGAAAAAGGCTACAGCAGAGAATATTTTGTAGGTAGACGAGAGTGGTTCGACCGATCTAAAAAGAGAAACAATCTTCGTAACATACAGATTACTGAGAGGATTACGGAGATTACGGAGATTACGGAGAAGCGGCAAGTAGAGATACAGAAGCAATTGCTGCATTTCCAGCGACATTAAAAGCAATCATTGAATGAGGAAATTATCCTCCTGAATTAGTTTTCAATTTTGATGAAACGGGCCTTTTTTGAAGAGAATGCCAAAACGTACATTTTTGTCTCTTGAAGAAAAGCGAGCACTAAAATTTAAACTTGGTGCCTTTAACTGGTGAAACTTTAAATTAAAATCACTGCTTGTTTATCATTCCAAAACCCCCAAGAACAATGAAGGGAATTTCAAAATCAACTTTATTAGTAATTTGGGAATCCTATAAAAAATCAACAAAATTGTCAAGCTAGTTGATCAAACAGGATTGTATAATATAAATGCGCAGGATATTGATAAATTATTGCAAGTTACAACAGGTGAAAGCCTTTCTAACGACGACCTTAAAGAATTAGTAGAACAACAAGTGCACGAAGAAGACGAAGTCAGCGTTTCTGAAGATGGGGAACAAAAGGAACTCTCAACGAATTTTCTAAAAAAAAAAGTTTAGCCACTATAACGGAAATTATGGATTAGTTTGTACAAAATGATTTAAATTTTGATAGAAGTTTAAAGACAAGACGAGGTATCATTGATGCGGTGTCTTGCTATCGATGACTGCTTGCTGAATGAAACAGGAAAAGTTAAACGACTTTATACGACTTCGTCACAAAAACACAAAAAATATCAAATAAGGAAGAACCTTCCTCATTACAAACATGTCATCTTCACTCGAACTTTTCTTGATTTTCATGAATGATTGATGAATCAAAATGGATATTAGCAATAAATAAGCCTATAAGTGATGTAATAAAAAACTATTTAACAATAAATGTTATAAAATAAAACAAAAAAAGGACTGTTCTTTGTTCTTTGTTCTGTTTCACTTACCCCCATTATTTGCGTGTTACGATGACTTCATTTAATGCTGTTTCGTTTAGCGCTGGAACTTATTGGAACGTATCCCCCGCGTTAAGCGGGGTGTGTTACTGTATTTTAAGTTAAAATATAAATTATTTTTTTAATATAAGATAATTTATATTTCATAAATCTTTTCATTCCAGCCTCCTATTGAAAGACAAATGATTATGCTACCTTTGTACAGTCAAAATACAGCTATTTAATTATTATTGAGCGGGGCTGATTTCAAATTTTAAACTAAAAATGTATTTGATGAACAGGTGAGTACAATTAATTTGCCAAATTCCTTTATATTATTTATTTATTTATTAATCACTACATTTTATAAATAATTAATTTACAGATTTAATCATTATAATTATATATAATTCTATTAAATATTTTTTTCCATAAAATATATATTAAATTTAATATTACTATTTCAAATGTATTAAATATATTAATATGTTCCTTTTAAATACATATTTAATCTCCAATTTTGTTATGTTTTGTATCAACGGTTGTTAAATTAAGAATACAATTTCATTCATTTCAAAAATAGAGGAGTTAATTTAATATAATTTCTTATGTAACATAACAGTTATTAATGTCAAATTGCATGTGAAATGTATAATTCGGTTTTACTTACATCTAGTCTTTTTAGAAATTAATTTAATTCATATATTAAAATTATTAATAGCGTACATATACATTTACTATATATAATATAATTAAGTAATTTTTTAATGTATACATATATGCTACTAATAATTTTAACACACATACGCGCGCGCACACGCACACACACACACTCGACGACTCGTGATTGTCTCTTCCAATCCCGACATTCTCGACCGCCTTCATTCAAGTAGACCAAAGTATCAACTACGCAGTCTCGTCAATAGCTTATCTTTTCTTAGTGCGGCAAAGAGATTTATGCATTGAATGTTTGAATGGATGCGACATGGTGCTACGGTGAATATCGTGTGATTTAGGAGTATAAGCGAAAGAATATTTACAGTGACTATTAACAAGACGATACATAAAGATTATGGACAAAGACACACACGGTAGGTACAACGTAGTACTATTTATACAGGCGCGGCTGGAATTGTCAAGTGGTCGGCCTCGGCGGGCAGTAAAACCACCGTCGTTATAGGGTGGCCGAAGTGAGATAGTGCAATCCTCAGAGTGACCACGATAAGTTCGTCAGGTCAAGAGCCAACGCGGAATTCAATCTTGAGGAAGCAAAGCAAATGTTGGTTACAGCTATCGATGGCACATACCAAGACGCATTGTTCTCAGTCTGCTCCGACAAAGACTGTCCTGTAGTCGCTGTAGATGGTTGCGTAGGCCGTCGCAGCATAGGCGGCCTGAAAAGCATCGGCGAAGCCGTTAAACTCTATTGAATTCATAGAATTCATAGGCCGTCGATTTACGGGAGGTCCCGCATGAATCGAATCCCTTGGCGTTCCTCTTGTTTCGACAGTAGTGGGTCCCAATCGCCCTTGAACAGCCATAGTGTCTGGAACGTGATCTTGACGGGCACGTCATGAGGACGGGAGATAGCTAACACAGCGGGTCCGAATCTGGTGCGTCCGTCGAGTAGCAGGTACCGCTGTTGGCGAGACTGCAAGGACGACCTCAAAGCAGGCTATGGCCGGCATCCACTGCATTGCCAGAACTCCATGCGACAGCTCGCGAGAGTGTAGCTGCAATGTCCTCTTACCGG